CTAACACGATCACCCTAAATTATTACTCTGACCTACACCGACCGTAACGGTACCAGGTAAATGAACCCAAAGTGGAAACCTTCTGAACAAAATACTCCCATCATTAACCAATGCATCTAATCGATGGTCGATCGCTAAGACCATTTAACACGTGAACTGCCACACTAAAGCAGTTGGAAATTTTGTTAAGATAATGGCACCAGTAGTTTACCAATTAAGAGAAATCTTCAACAATGATAACCGCTTGTTGTGTCATTAAAAAGCGAGAGTAGATGCCGGACGACATTCTTTAAGCCTTCTAGATTATATAACAGAACCACTTTTAAGAAAAAGTTAAGTCATATGAATTTGAAGAGTATGTTTAAAAATTCGGTAAATGCTTCGAGACAAGCCTTAAATATTAAAAAAATAGTAATTGACATTCTGTTCGTTAGCGACTGACCACTTGTACTAGAAGAGATATTTCATTCGCGAAATGTTCACAATGGATGAATTTTTTACCTGAAGCGTAAGGCTATTCTTAACAAAAGCGATATGGAAAAATAAAAGTATAACGGCATTAATGAATTTAGATGTTCGTTATTAGTAAGCATACTTCACTTTACTTGTATGTAATTGTTTTAATAATACGTCTTATTCTCCTGTGATTTTATTTTATATATAGATGCAGCCTATTCTTAATCTCAACTTATTCTCAGCTTATTCTCCACCTCATAGGCACAACGCGTCACTATAATCGCTTTCGTGGTTACCATCTCTCTGTAGAGTGGCTTTCGCGAATGTCATAGATTACATAGTGCCACTATAGTGGCTCACTCTACTGACTCGCCCACCGTTTCAATCGAATGATCGTTTTCATATGTTTCGATTCGCACTTTTTTGCCTTCACCACGTTTTGTAAGAGTATTAACAAATCCCACAAAAGTACATTACATGTAAATAAAAGGTAACGCCAAGTTTAGGCACCATGGGAGCACCTCTTGGCACTAATACGCGATATTGGAAACATTTGGAAATTACATATTTTGTGAATTTTCAAAAAAGTAAATTATCAAAGTTAAAGTATATGTATCATATCTTTGGGAAAAATTATAATTTAATCATCAAAAACTTGATTCCAATATACTCGCGTAGAGAACAGCATTGTCACACATTGTAGTGCTGTTTACGCGTAATTTGCATCGAACTCTGCCGTACAGAGAAGTAACGTCATATAAAGTTCTGCTGTGCCTAAGAGGTTAATGTAAACCAATTTTTTTATTGAAGCAATCGATTCTTTTTATTTTCGTGCGTATAAATGTACTAACTCAATGTCATTGAAATATTTCACGAGATACTTGACATTTTTAAAATATCATTTGAATGTGTTGCAGAAACATAATTTATTACAATAAGTGTCTCAATGTTCCACTATTGCACTCTAATTATTATCTCAGGCGATTTTTTACATTTTTCATTATAACCATGAACGATTTACGTGAATTATAGTTCATTTTCGTTGAACGTCTTTGTTGGGAGTTTTAAAAGACAACTGACTACCAACTCGTATGATTAATTCAAAATCTGATTTCCCTGGGGAAATTGTGATAATTAGGATAGAAGTCCCTTTTGCCGACTTTTAGTTGGTGGATTACAAAATTTAGAGGTTTAGAAATTACGAGATGCAAAGATTTTGAAATTTACCAACTTGTGGAGTTTGATATTGGAAAATTGAGAATTTGAGACGTGACAATCTGATCTAAAAATATGAGAATTTTGAAATAAGGAAATTTGGAAATTTAGAAATTTAAAAAATTGAATATTGAGAAATGTAGAATTTTATTAAACTGGAAATTTAGAAACTAGGAAATTTGAAAATATAGAAATTTAGAAACTTGAAAAGTTAGAAACATAAAAATGTAGAAATATAGAAATATAGAAATATAAAAATGTAAAAATATGGAAAATAAAAATTTTGGAAATATAAAACTTTTAAAACTTGAAATCTTTGTAACACAGAAATTTAGTAATCTAGAAATCTATCGTTCTGAAGATATAGAAATATTAAAATTTACAAAAAGGTAGAATTTTGAAATTTGATCATTTAGAAATTCAAAGGTTTGACCATTTAACAATTTATCAATTTCAAAATGTGAAAATTAAGGGAATTTTAAGACTGTAAATGTTATAATTTAAAATTGGAAGTTTGAAAATTTTGAACCAAGAAATTTGAACATCTGAAAAATAAATATAGAAGTTTAAACATTTAAAAGTTGGAAAATTTACGAAACGTACGATTCAGAATTCTGAGAACTAAATAAATGTCAAATGTACATATTTATTGTTCTCCACGTATTCAAATGTACAAGACTAATAATGTGTCATGTTAAATGCTATTAATATCGAATACAAACATAAAAAATCGTAGTATACAACCGATTCGTCAATAATCTCACTTAACTCGTGACAGAGTTGAATTGAAAAGTATACGATTGTACAAGGACGTCGACAGTATGAATATTCAACGAGTTGTTACATTATCTATTAAAGATCTGTCGTAACCAAGATTCATTATCTGCTCATATTATTAAGTTCTATTGTTTTGATTATCAAGAAGAGAAAATATGTGTTAATTTGCAATAAGTCAATGTTCCAATGTACACAAGTTTTGTTGAATACACAGCTAAAATTGGAAAATTGGGAAATTGAGAAATTGGGAAATTGAGCAATTAGAAAATCGGGAAATTGGGAAATTGGTAATTTAGCTAAAATCCAAACAAGTTTATTTCATAATTTCAAAAAAAAAAAAAATGAAAATACTTAAAGACATTCGCACTTGCGAACTGCTTCGACTTACAAATTGTGTTAATCTTTTCGTTACACTAATATTCAGGTTTCGTGAAAAAAATGCTGACGTAACGACACGTGTATATTGGTAATAAAATTCCTACGATATATCATGTAGAATTATGTATTTCATCGTGTTATCATTTCTATTTTGTTCATTTTATGTTTATTTCATACAATTTAATTTATTACATTTTATTTTTTACTGATAATTGAATATTTATTTTATTTTGATAATTGAATATTGGGATATTTTAATATATTGTTAATATTAATACAATGTATATTTCGTATATATGTGTATTGCTTAATATACATTACAAAAAAATTGTATACATGAAAATATAAATTTAATCAAATTTTCAAATGAAAAACTTTTCGTGTGCAGCTTCATTTTTTAAAACTGAATTAATAAAATATATATTGCATTAATATTAACACAATATACAAATTACAGAATTAATGCAATACACATTGTATTAATATTGATAATATAATAATGAAAAAATTATATATGCAAAAAATGTTAATTATTTTAATAAAATTTTGTAATGAAAAATAAAAATTTTTATGTGTAGTTGTTCATTTTTTACAGTTGAATTTGAATATTTTTCAGAGAATTTGTAGGAAAATCTGTTTATTATACAAAATGTAACAGTTTCAATAATTCTTTAGTTAACACAATAATTAATAGCTAAAAGTATATTATTATTTAGCGATCTTTATGCTATTACTATAATATCGTTATTAACTCATATTTTATATATGTTTTCAATTTACATAACAAATTCTTATGCTTTCAATTTAACTCTCTGAGACACATGGTTTTGAAGAAAATAAAAATCGAAATTACAAAGAATTTATTTTTTAATATAAACAAATGGAAAGGACGTTAATTTTCCACTAACTTTTCATCAACTTTTTGAGGTGATTAAAATACATCCCATCATGCATCAAAAGCTTAACGAAAGATACAACAGTTTTTAACCCACCTAACCTCAAATAGTTAATTACCTCATATCATTAATCTATCATTGGCATTTTTATTTATTAATAGTTACGAGAACTCGAGCGTAATTTAAATGTTAATAAATAACTGCTCTCAATACGAACAAACATCAAATATTCCACGAATCACTTTAATCGAATAGCACGATACAATGCACCGAGGAATTAATTGGTTCGAAACTTCCGAACAGTACTGCAGAATGTTACAACAACGTTTCCAAATGTTAGCCACATGAATAGCTTATATCCTGTTAACTCGTTTCGACAAACTTTTAACCAGCAGTTCATAATGATACAGCCGTATTTGAAAATGTTTGCCACTAGAATATATTGCATCCCGTTAATTCGTTCCAACAAACTTTTTAATAGTAACTTATGATGCCACAATTGTACTTCAAAATATTACCCACTTGAACTATTTATCTCTGTCTATAATACGTAATTGCAGATGCAATATAAACTATTTTTGTAATTAAAACTTATTGTATTAACGGAGTTATTATTCCAGAAATCCATAGCTCTTTCTTTGTATGATTTTTAAATTGGCAAAATTTAAAATTTCTAAAATTTTTTAAATTTTTTAAATTTCTAAATTCCTAAACACAGAAATTTCCAAACTTCAAAAATCCGTAAATCCTTCGACTTTCAAGTTGACAAAACTCCAATTTCTAAAATTTCCAGATTCCTCTAACTTCCGAATTCCCAAACTTATCCTCGCATCTCCAAATTCCCATATTCTCAATTTCAAAAGTCCCTCAAACTTCCAAACAATTCCAAGAATTTTTCTTTCGACAAATTTCCGAATTCTATAAACACAAATTTACTTCAGCAAAATTATAACACTTTAACATTCTTCATTTGCTTCAACCCCATAACATCGAGTCAGACTCCTAACGCGCGTTACAGTTCAAACGTGACAAACCTAAATTTTATTTGTATAAACCTCGTAACACAATTTTAATTTGTATAATTGAAGATCGTTAAATTCAAAACATACTTAACATTTCAACCTTCTTTATCTTAACAGTAATACTGCTTTATCTTGCAGTAATAAATAGCCTCGCTGTCAAAACACTTGTAGGTTAAGGGGTAAATATCACAGCAATCCTGACAAGAGTTTAAGGAACTACAAAACCCGTTAAAAATACTAGTGCAAAGAAACTCACCTCTTGGGGACAGGCACACGCCTGTGCTTCCACACGTTGTCGTTCAACATCCTACCGCAGTTTTGTTTCCTTCGAAGATCTATCAAGGAACAATGTGCGCTGTTCCTCGACGTCGATCGGATCCTTAGATCCGAGACGGTCGAACACGACTCATCAAGCAGGAATAGCCACCGATTGAGAGCATGTACGTTCTTTCTTTCGACCAGTTAGCCGGATCCTCGCCGAGTTATCGTTCCAATCGATCACTGAAACTCTCAACGCCACACTCTGAACCGTCTCTAATTCGATCGATCGTTCACTCGCGCGTTACCAAGACGAACGGTTCGTTCATGGATCAACCTGCTGCTTAACTTTCAGAAACGATCGCTCGTCGAGATATCGATGGAACGTAGTCTCGATCGGGGTGGTTGGCAGGAATTTTAGCAAGGTTTTTCTGTCATCAATTGCCGAGCTAAATGTCGGACAGCTGATCAGCACGGGTCGTGGAGGACAATACGTACGCACAGTCGGCTGGTCAGCACGCGACTGACGAGCACCAGGAATATTCTGTGCGGGCACTCCGCTCGTCGACGAAGAGACGACACGCGATACGCTCTGCTCCGCGCCCGCTCCGTTACTCAGCTCGCTCGTAATGCGATTCTACTCCACATTCGCCGCGCCGATTCTCCCCACCGACCTCTTTCGCCGCGAGAAAGGCGCCACTTTCTTGAAAGATTGCGGGTACAAAAAGGTACTCGACCCCGAACTTGCCGTACTCGCGGAGATACCGTGTACCCGAACGTTTACTCTTTCGAACACGATAGTTTTTTCGTGCAAGGTTAATGTCCCTGTTTCTAATCGTGGCCCAATTTCTAATCAATACGAGTATGTATGACGCCGCGGATGTTCCGAATAATCAGTGCTGAAATTTTGTTTGTGTACAATTGTTCATGAGCATCCGATCAAAATCAATGGTTATGGTTCCCGAAATATTCACATTTGAAGTTCATTGCAATATTGACACGTTGAGAGCTTTTTATCCTTTCTTTCTTTCTTTTAAAATCCAGTTCGAAAGATATATAAGAAGGTGGAACAAAGTCCTCTGTTTATTCTTCCCATCCCAAATATCACGCTCGCCAACAAGTATTCGCTCGCTGTCGACCAAGTGGAGGGCATAGCAAAATCGGCGTCGTGCTCAGCGTGTTAATGGCGTTAGATTATGGTAGGTTCGGTTAAGTTAGGTTAGATTAGGTTATATTAGGTCAGGTTTTGATATATGTTGGTTTCCGACTCCATCTGAAGCCAGGACAGACAAAAGTGGTGGTTTTAGCCAGTAGTAACGTTAATGAACATTTTATCAGCGTAATCATGTAGATTAGTTCAGATAGCTTCAGCTGGTATACAACTTGTTTTTTGAAGTTATATCTTTGCTTTGACAAAAACGTTTCTTTGCTGCAAACTCCAGGTATTTACTTTTGTTACTCTCTGTACGTTGACTGCTTTTCCGAAAAACGGAAACGGTATTAAAATAAATGTACCAGTAGTTGACACTTTAAGAAATTTTTTATCTATTTGTTTACATAGTTCAGGTTAAGTTCACTTTATGGAAAATTTATGATTAACAGTCGTTGCACAAATTACTCTTTTATTATATTACAAGTATTCATTCCTGATGGCAGCTGTAAATTTTTTTTCTTTTTTTCTTCTAAACGTAAAATTTGATTCAATAGTTGACAACCAGCGAAAACAGAAAATTTAGTAGTTGACATCCTTTTGTTTCAGTAGTTGACATAGGGAGAAAATCCAATTAATGAAATAGTCTTGATAATGTGTGAATTTTTTTGAACATTTAAAAAAGATTATTCTTGAGTAAGATTATAAAAAATATGTAATAATTAAGGGTTAACATGAAGATTCAATAATAAATATTTAATATGAAGAGTTTGAACACTCCTCATATCGGAGTATCTTCATATCAGTTTCTTATTGCATTTTTTTTCTGCATCAGTTAATACTCTGACTGGGCCCATTTTTCTTTTAATTGGATGTTTGCCTTTAACCTTGTATTTTAAAGTTACCCTCGGAACACTAAATTTCCTAGCTGCCGTTTTATACGGAGTTTTATGGAGCCGGACATCTTCCACAGCCGCTTGCATAGTCTGTTCTGTATAATTTCTGAAGTTACCCTTCGTAGGACGCATCTCAAAATCGACAGAGCAACAAAATCAATAATTGACACGTAGTAATTTAATAGTTGACACCCCATGTCAACTATTGAATAATAGACCATTACAAGTTTCAGTAATTGACACGAAGTGTATTTAGACAATTTAGCATTGTTTTTTGCCAATTTTAATAAATAAACCTCTTTTTAAGTTTCAAACAACATAAACGAATGCCTTTTTTACTCACAATGATTAAATAATACAAACTTGCAGTACTTATATTTTAACCAAATACTTAGCGATTTATATAAGAAAACACTGGAAAATCGTAAGAACATGATAGAATAGGCAAGTTTGATTAATCAGTTGCTATTACATTTTTGAATGGCAGATATGCACAATAGTTCGCAATTAAGCCACTGAATCGTGACAGTATACAGATTTAATAAGGTTTGATGTATTCCAACTTGTGGTTTCCTTATTTATTTATTTTTTTTGAAAAAGTGTCAAGTACTGGTATAGTGTCAACTACTGGTGCTCTTACCTTAAACACGATGGTTTTTTGATGCAAGGTTAATTTCCAATTTCTGTTCAATACGGTGATTGTGCAGCATATCCAAAAGTCTGTTGACCTTCATTTCGATAGACGTGTGTTTTTTTTGAAAACAATGGAAGCTTACTAAATACAATAGATTTTGTTGCAAGGTTAATTTCCCAATTTTGCTCAATACGGTGATTGTGTAGCACATCCGAAGGTCCGTTGACCTTCATCTTGACAGACGTGTGTTTTTCTGGAAGTTCGCTAGGTACGATAGTTTTATGATTCATGGTTAATTTCCAGTTTATACTCAAAGTAGATTCGTTGACCTTCATCTTGATAGATGTACGTCGTATGTCTTTCTGAAAACAATAGAAGCTAAATACGATAATTTTTTGACACAAGGTTAATGTCCTAATTTCTGTTCACTAAAGACGGTAATTGTATTACGAAGGAGTTCCATTAACTTTGACGTTGCCATGTCCTTAGGATTCTGATAACCTAACCTAACTCCTGAAGAAGATGATCGTATATCGATCTTAAATTATAAACCTATTTGTATGCAAAGTGTTATACTTTTATTATTATATACAAAGTATTGTGCTATTATTATTGTATCAAAAGTATTATGCTTTTACTATTGTATAATAAATGTGTTATTTATTACTGTATAATAAATGTTGTATAAAATGTATTATGTCAAAAGTTCTAGGACTTATAACACAATCCTGCTTGCTAACTAATACTAACTCGCTTTTTAAAATATTGTCATTGATAAGTAATAACTAACTAATACTAACTCATTACTGCAATGTTAAAAGAAATGAAAAAAGTTGAAATGTTAAATATATCTTACATTTAACAACCTTTGATTGTACAGACTGTAATTGGTATTGAACTCAAAATTGAATCCGTGTGCAAATACGATTTAAGTTTGTCACATTTGAACTGTAATGTGCGTCACGAGTCTGACTCGATATTACAGGCCAAGGGGTTAATAATCTCGTTGTTGATGATTGTATGATTACAAAATCTATTGATGCTGTCACCTTACAATTTTAAAACAACCTTAAAACGTCGTTTTACTGAACCTCCTGTGTATCTCAGTTTTTCTTTCTTTGAGTTGTTTAATCTTCTAAGAGGATTTTTGGTAACTTTGTAAACTTTTATAATTCATATTACTAGGTATTACAAACTTTTATAATTCATATTACTAATCCATAGTACTTGGTTAATGAACGTCCGATGTGCAGTTACTTTTAAATTAAAAATAAAATATAATAATAAATATATAAGGTATGTATACATATGTAAAGCAATTTATACAATTATTCGTCGTTCGACAAAAGTGGTCGTACATTTCGACAGAGGCATTTTAACAATTTCTATAATTTGAAATAAGGAATCAGATGCATCTAGGTTAGCGCATTCCGTAAACCTAGTGTTATATTTATTATAGAATTTTTGTCGTATTTATTCATGTTGTATTTTTATAATATTAGTGATATTATTAATATTATTAATATTTGTTAAAATTAAGTTTTGTTAAAACTTAAAGTTTGAAGGTAAAAAATTAGGACACCCAATATGTTAAAACCAGGAAACGGGACGGACAAATCTGTCACAAATATTTAAAAAAATAAGAGATCCATTAATTTATTAACTTTGTGAAGCACACGATTTTAAAGAAGACAAAAAGCCAAGTTGTACAGAATTTTTTCTTTAATATAAACATATGGAAAACACGTTCATTTCAATTATTTAACATAAAAACGTAAACTATTCAAAGTAATTAAAATACATCTCACCATACATAAAAGGCTAAGCAAAGGGTGAGATAGTTTTTAACCTAACCTTAATAAATTGAAAATTGTTACTCAGAATCAGGTTCTCAGCAACATATGTGAAAGTCAAAGTCACCAGCTTATCCCTCGAAGTATACAGGCTCTTTCTAAAGTCCGACCCCATCCTCATATTTCGAAAACTGCTTTAAATACAGAAAAATGTTTCAGACAAAAGTTGTAGGATATCAAGGGGTACATAACATGTTTGCAACAATTTGCCCTTGAAGAGTCGTTTCAATGTCACGTAAACATCTTCAGTTTCTTAAATAGAACCCCCCATTTTTTATTGCATATTCTTGTAACCCTCATTTGGGCGTCTTCGAAACACTACCTATGTTTTTTGTGCAAGTTATTCCCAAGATATAAAGCTTCAAAGGTAACACATAAGATGCGTAAGATCGTGCAACCTTCACACGGTACAGCTTGAGTAATATGAATGCCGACATGTCGACTCTGAAGCTTCATATCTTGGGAATGACTTGCACAAAAAATAAACATTGGTAATATTTTATAAACGTCTCGAGGGTTACAAGAATACACAATAAAAAATGGGGGATCTATTTAAGAAACTGAAGATGTTCACGTGATCTTCACACGACCATCCAAGGTTAAATTATTGTCACCATCTTATGACCCTCTTGATATCCTACAACTTTAATATATTTTTCCACATTTAAATTTTCCAAAATATAAGAATGAGGTCGGACTTTAGAAAGATCCTGTATAATTACTCCAAACGTATTTCTCCTTTACTACAAAATATCTGATGAAATAGTTGTAGACAAATCGTTTCAAAATATTTGCATATTACGAAGAGAATCGTGTAAAGCTATTACTCTTGAGGTGACAGCACCTATTTAGAAATAAATTGAACACACAAGACGTTCGTCTTTAATTGCAGTTTCAGTTGCACCGTTACAATCTAACTTTAATATGGATAACTGTAACTTTATGTTATTATTTATTCGAAACATTATCGTTTATTTCATTTCATAGTAAGTGACGTTTGTAGTGATTTAATTCTGTGCGTACATTATGCAATTTTTTGTGGGGAGAGTTTGTGTAGCTGG